TCTCAACTTCTTTCACTGGCGGGTCAGGGTTCTTTGACTCGGTTTGTTTTTCAATGAAATTCACGAACTTTGCAATAAGCTCTTGGTTCGTTATTGAAAGTACATCTGGCTTCTTTTCTTCTGGTTCTATTGACTTTTCAGTTTGAATAGAAGGCTTAACATGGGCTTCGTGGACTTCACCCTTGCCATACACCTTAATGTTGTCGCTTTCTGCATTCGCTAATGGAACCTTTCTTTTTCTTACGTATATTTTACCATCTTTACTCTGACTTACGTAATAGAAAGGATGTTGTATTCCTCTTGCGTCATTTAATATAATAGACTCTCGCTCTGATTTTGACAAGCTCATTTTACATCGGTTAAAGTTTTAATTTTGTTTTTTATCTGCAGTCAAATGACTCAGACAAGTCCTACGGACAAGACCCAAGGGTCATAGATGTTGAAGCATTGAAGAAAGAAATTCGTGAGCAAATTTTATCCGAACTGAAGGAACAAAAACAAGAACAAAAGCCAGAGAGACCAAAGAGAAAACTTAGTGAAAAACAACTTGCTGCATTAGCTGCTGGAAGACAAAAGAACCCACGTTTGCTGGCGAAGAAAGCTAGAGAAGAAGCTGAAGCAAAAGCTAAAGAAGCTGAAGCAAAGAAAGAGTAAATGGTTTATTTTTATCCGAATTAAATGTATAGACAAATACCTTTATCTGTTGCGTTCAGTAGTGAAAACCCTGACGTCAAAATAAAGGGGAACAGAGTAACGTTTAAGTTTCCAACAGACTGGATTGTGAACATAAATGAAGAGAAGTACATTGGCATAACATCTATGTATATAACACGTGCTTTCAGAAAGGTTGACTTTATACTTCAAGTCGAGATAGAAAATGACGAACAGTCTTTAAGCGCCCAAAACATTCACATATACAAATACTTTAAAGACGATACAACATTGTTGCAATGTATGATTTCATTTAATGAGATGTTCGAGAAAAAGTTCAACATTGAAGTACAAACTTTACAGCCTTTACGTGAGTTTCTTGCACAACTGAAAGAAGAAGGTAGTCAGCCACAACTTATAGACTTTCATTATGAATTTAATGAAAATGAAGATGGAACTCATGACTGTCAGTTTGTTGTATTTCACCATTCAATGAAGTCGCTAAAGAGAAAAAATCCATTACGTATAAGATTTCAAATCTCTGAACCAAGTGATGATTTCAAGAATGTTTTCAATTATGATGCAATGCTTCCGAGGAAAAATGAATTTTCAAAGATTGTAACACCTGGCATTTGGGATAGAAAGCAAGCTATATTATATTCAAACTTAAGTAAGGGAGTTGAAAATGAGTTCATTGGTCATACAAGAACTTCACCACTTCCTAACCCTAAATACTATAAATTAACTGGCTTCAATCGTGAGTTTTGGATAGACATGTTCTCCACTCATGACCATAACTGCCCAGTGTTCTTACCTCCAGACCATAAGGACTGTCTCTACATTGAAGCACAACTCTTAAACTCTACCATCGCAGTATTGTAAAATCTACGCTAGCTTTATTTTTATCACGAATGACCTCATTTCTGACAAAAATAAATGACCTCATTGCTGACCTCATTGCTGACAAAAATAAATGACCTCAGAACTTCAACTTACGAATAAAGCTTGTTTTAGTCGTTATTGAGAAGTTAAACTTTTCAGCAAAGCAAGGACTAGAAGACTTACATAAGTCAAATCCAATCTCTTGACCGTCATAAAGTGCTTTATATAACTTCATAACACTGAACTCAGAGTCTTTGTCAAATTTTCCTTGCGGAATCATTAAACCTTTATCTTCATCATAGAAACACTGAACAGAGTCAGGAAACATTTCATTAGCGGTTAAAGCAATAACATCTTGCTTCACGCCTTTCATTCTGCAGTGAAATGCAACTTCATTTAAATCATTCGTGAGTAAGTCTATGTAAGTCTTCTTTCCACAAAATATTGACTTGTATGCTAAACTTTGTTTTCCAGGTGTTATTTCTGCGAAGTCACTATGAAACTGACCAAGGTTTTTACCAATGAGAACTCTTCCATAACGTTTCTCAAACTCTTCAGCTAAACGAGGGATATCTTCATTGTAGAGATGCATACTGTCGGTGTCGCTATAAAAGATGTCCATTCCTAAGTCCTCAGCAGTACAGAATACTTCACACATTATTCTCTTCGACATGACAGAATGTTAACACCAAGTGGACAGAAGTTAAAGTGTCTGCAAATGCTTTTCGTTAGCTTGAAAATAGTTTTATCTGAACCATCCAAACCTTCGAACTTCACTATATGGTTGTAGTTTCTGATGGCATATCTTATAGCATCTTTGTCATTTACTATGGTTATTTTTGACTCAATAGGAGATAGAATAGTTTTGCCATAAATACTGTTCAGAATGAGCTTTATATTTTCTTGCAAAGGATTTCCTTCTTTCTTATACTTTAACCTTAACTCAAACAACTTCTTTACTTCATCTCTTATTCTAATATCTCTGTTTCCATCGTAATAGTATCCTTGCAACACTTCACATTTGACACCTTGATATTTTATGAGGTCTTGTAATGTTATATGGTCAACATACATTAAACAGCAAGTGTTTGAACTTCTGGAACGTTAAGTTCTGGATTTAGTTCAGGGTCACAAACTATTAAAGGAAAGTGTCTATGTATTCCAATCTCTGTTATCTTAATGAGAACAAAGAAGCCAGACATAAACTTTTCACCAATGGGTTCCTTTTGGTCGTCATCGAATAAATGTCTCATGAGATACTCTGTGCTTAACATCTCATCCTTCATAACCTTTGGAATTACCTTCTAAAGTATAAAGTCTTGCTATAGCGGATGGATATAATGAAACAGCGTCGAAGTCAGCAATGAGTTTCTTTTTGCTCTTTTGTTTCATGTTATCTGACAACATACATCTTCCACCTTGAATGCATCTCGAAATAAATTCTCTTGGTTTATTTGAGAGGTCATATAAATTTCCATTCGGGAAGTACACTCTGTTCTCAAACAATTTGTTAGCAATAGAACAAATACTAACGTAGTCATAAACGTTTAAATCAAATTCTTTCAATATGTCATTGCGGAACTTAACAAAACCTTCTCTTAAAATTCTTACATCTTGTTTGCAATAAAATGTACTATACTTTTCTAAGTCGAAGTGGTTTTCATCTATTCTGCAACCTTTGATGGAATCTATGTTCTTCATGAACGTATCTGCATCCTGGATAAACTTACATGCTTCAGAAATGACACCAGTTCTGTTGTCATTTGCTAACAAAACACTGCTGTAGTAGTTGTATGGAAATACTTCTTTCGGTCCTGTTTGTAAGTTAAACATAGCAGGAAATAGTTTAAGCTTCTTATTTATAACACTGTAAGAGTCTTTTATAATAATTGCCCTTCCTTTATATAAGCCAGTTATTTGCATTGTTCGTGAACCTTTAATGATGGGAGTTCCTTTCACTTCTGTCATGTGTCTTAAGATGAAGTTTATATCATAACTGAGGTTATGGAAATATATTAAACTCTTGTCAGGAAGTCGTTCCAAAAATTCTGTTGCACAGTTCTGACCCCAAATGCTTTCACTCACTGAACCATCTTCACTGTCATAACAGATGTTAAAAGCTTTATGAAAGCCGTCTGTGCTACACTCAAAGTCAGCAAAGAAAACGTGCTCAGGAATGAACTTGCACTTATTTTTATTTACTTCTTTTGACTCGGCTTTCTTCTTCAGTTGTACACAATACTTTGGAGCATATGTCAAATCTTTAAATGGTGCAAGGTTCTGTTTATATAAGTCAGTCGTATATGTGAAAAGTTCTCCATAAGAAATAGGTTCGAAATATTTGCACTCCCACAATGTTTTCATAACATCCCATAGTGGTGTTGTTCTATCATAACGAACTACATATTTATCTTCTCTCTTTGTATAAATCTTCATTTGTTTCTCAATGTTCATTCCACCACACTCCTTCAAGATTTCTATATAGTTGCGAATGAAATATGTTGTCATTGGTAATCTTTCGTTTAGCATGTAGTGGTCTTCAACAAGAAGTAAGTCAATAGTTCGAACAGTTTTACATTCTTTTGGTATGTATCTCTTTATTTCATTATGTCTTGAGTCATTGAAATAACCAATGGTAACATTAAATGCTATACCTGTTGCGTCAGAAATTTCTTGTACTTTACTTTGAGGAAAGTCTCTAACACGAATGACTTCTCTCATGTGGTCAATAGTTTCTTCATTTACTCCAGCCTGAATGCAAGCATAAACGAAACAATTGTCCTCTGTCATAAGTGTTGCAGTTCTTTTGTTCAGTTCATTGAAGATTTGGTAGCGTTCAAGATTTATAGGTAATGTGCAAAGATACTTCCAGAACTGACCGCTTCTCTTCTTATAAAACTTCTTTTCACCATTATCTTTCCAAAAGCTTTCTATAAGTGCTGGGTTTCCTGTTTGCTTAAGAGCTTCCAAAATGGCTTTCTGGTCATTTGTCAGTGTGCTTTCATCTCTATATGGTCTCTTTTTTGGTTTGCCTTTCTTTACATCTGACATCGTTAAGCCTTCATATTCTGTTAAATCATACATCTTTATTTCAGTAAGATTCTTTATGTTTGTCAAGAAGAAGTCATAGTGCATTTCAACAATACCTGCAGCATTTGCTTCTATCTCTGATATAAAGTTCTCCTTCAAGAGCTGATGTAGTAGTGTTCCAATATTATTGAGGTTTAACGTAGAACATTCATACTTTCCACCAAGTTTATAACATACCATCCATCTCTGTTGGAGTTTATTTTAATCTTCTCTAAGAGTCTCATGAAAACCTTACCGAAATGTTTGTGTAAGTAGTCTCTGTTTGGTTCATCTAAAGCTTCGATGTTAAAGTCAATGAGTCTATTGCCTGACTTCACATTTCTCTTCCTATTCTCTTCATCTTTCTTTAACCATCTCTCACCTTCTTTTGGTTTGTCGTCAATGGAACGAATGACATCGTTAGCTTTGCGAACTTGTTCTATAGCGCTCTTAAACATCTCTCTTCTCTGTTGTTTCAGTGTGTCGTCTCTCTTTCGTGTTTCACCAACGTTTGCATTTGTTATGTCAAACATCTCTTGACGAACATCATGCGAAAGAGCTTTACGAGTATGACCAACGTTTGCATTTGTTATGTCAAACATTTCTTGACGAACATCATGCGAAAGAGCTTTACGAGTATGACCAACGTTTGCATTTGTTATGTCAAACATTTCTCTTCTTACTTCATGAGGTACTGAACGTCTATGATATAAGTCAATAGCAACGTCATTTAAAGGAAATGCTATTGCATGGACTTCGTCCTCGCCGCGTTGCGGCTTTATGAACTCATGAATTCTATCATAACTTATTGCACCATTATAGTCTTTAATGAAGTCAGCGAGTGCTTTTTTGTTTGTTGCGTAATGCTTTGCAACATCTATGTTAGCTTCTGTAAGAAGTTGTTTTATTTCCGAGTGTTCTAACTTAGACAACTTCCGATACATCTTTAGTAGGAAATAAAAAAAATATTTTTGAAAAAATTAGATTAGATTTTTTTTAAGTTATTTTTCAAAATAATTTAATATTTTTATTATAATGAAACACATGCAAGATTGCAAGTTCTTTTCATACAATGCTCTCGCTAATGCCATCAAGAATGAGTTCAATGGTGCTTCAAACGTTAATGTTATCTTTAACAAGAAGTTTGTGAAAGAATCTAAGTTTGGTCAGTATGTCAGACCATTAGCTATTGTCATTGACCGCAAACGTTATACTTCACAAGAGTTAGCAGTAGTTTTGAAACAAAAGAGTTTCTTCGTGAATGTCAAAGATACTCATTATACTGTCATAAAGAACTCTAACATTGACTTCTTCAGTATTGCTATGAATCTTTCCGAACAGAAAGAATATAAGAAGGGTGAAACAAATGTGAAATATTATCCTTCATCTCTGAAGACAATAACGAACAAAGATGTTATACAGAAATTCTTACCAAAGGTTGAAGAAGCTTCAATTGACATTGACGAAGGAAGTGAAATGGTTGAAGAAATAGACCCTGAAGCTATTTAAGCAAAAATATATTTTTGGTTAGTATTCATATGGATATTTTACAACAATTCCCCAATGTATAAACTTTTCATACGCTTTTTCATAAGCTTTATATACCTTCAGAAATTTTGCATAATCTTTAGAAGCATTTAGATATTGTTTAAATGCTTTGTATGTCTTCAGAAATTTTGCATAATCTTTTACATGTTGTTCGTTCTCTTCTTCTGTCATGAGTTCCGAATATTCTAAATTCATGTTCTTTCATATGAGATAAAATTTTATAAAAAAAATAAAATTAGCTTAGATTTTCATTCTTCCTCTTTGAAGTTATCGAAATACTCTGTTATTTTTTCCTTTAACAATGGTAAGTCTTCTTTGAATGTAAGAATTGTACAACCTTTGATGTCATAGTGTGTTTGAGGAAGAGTACTTTTGACAATTTCCTTTATTTGCTCATTCGGTGTCATTGAAATCGGTAAGTTTTCACGATAGAACCAGTTTCTGTCAGATTTGTAAATCTTAGCAAGGTCATAAAAGCTTTTGTTGTTTCTTCTGACTAAATGCAACATAACCATATCTCTGTCTTCTTCTTTCTCCAACTCTTCAGTATATATCATATACTTATAACTCTTTTCCTTTCCTTTTGGTACTGAACGCGGTATTCTTTTCTGTATGCTTTTGTCTTTGGATTCAATGACTTCATCTTTTGCTTGAAGTTTCTTTTCCATCTGTTCGCGTTCTTGTCTGTGAATTTCGTCAAGAAGTCTGTAAACATGCCAAGCATAACGAGGCGAAGCCCACATTGCAACAGCATTTACAAGAAGTCTATGTACATAATATCCTCTCAAACCGTTTGGCAATTTTTCACGATTTTCATAGAGTTTTGGCGACTGGGTTTTTTTACCTACTCGCTGTTCTTCACTGTTTTCAGAAAAAAGTATGTCTCGCTGTGCTTCGCTTAAGAGTTCTTGTGTGCTTTGGTTCCTAAACCAGTCTTTAGGAAGCTTAGTATCTGGAGCAAAACATGCTGTCAAAATACTTTGCATTTGGTACATGTCATCTTTGACTGAACGAATGAGACGGAGTTGTTTGTTAAACTGTATGTACTCGTATTCTTCATTTATAGCTTCATGAACGATAGCAGTTGTTGTGTTCTCTAATGTTGACATTACTGTCTTTACATACAAAATAAAAAAAATAAATAAAAATAAAATTAGCGTTATTTTTTCTGAGATAAACACTATTTCTTCACAACATTAAATTTTATCCTGTATGAAATGACTTTAAAAAGATTATTGACTGACTTCGAATACTATCTCATTGACGCACTGACAGACCCTCAAAACTGTGTTGAAAGTTCTTTAAGCTTTAAGATTGAAGGTACGACGCATTTTGTCTTCACTTACGTATTGAAAGAATATGACCGTTATCATAACGAAGTGAATCAAACACTAATAAAATTTGTAGATAAAAAATTGGTTAACAATGAATATTTTAAACGTGAAGACCCAAACACTGCTGGAGATGATGAAGAATACAGACAAGTTATTGAAAAAAATAACGCAAGATTAGATGCAATAGAAAAGAAGTTTAATGAATGTCTTACAAACACGTATGAATATCTTATGCGGTGGGAAGCAGATGGAAATAAATTTACGTCAAATATGCAATTTATAAAATCTTATGTCGACAGGCTACGTAGCACAGTGGTCTAAGGTGGTGTTATGGGGGGTAGTGTCTGTGGTTCGAACCGCGGCAGCGCCGTATTTTCTTATTTTCTTTGTTTGTCTTGTTTGTCGTGAATAAAAAGTGTCATAAAAGTGCTCTATTTCCACGGGAATAAATAAAAAATTTACTTTATTTCTTCTTTATTTCCTTGTTCCCGTGGAAGAAGGGTTTTGCTGTTTTTTCTGTTTTTTCTCAGCCGAAATCAATGATTTTTTCATTTTTGGAATCCTTAGCGAATGAGGAATCTTTTCTCTCGTGGAAGCTTTGACCAAAAATATAATTGAGGTGAAGAGGTGAGATCTCACCTGTTTTTTCACCTCTTTTTTCACAAGCGTTTTACATGAATTGTACGATGTATATTTGAAATCCTAAACAATTTCGTAGCTTCTATTTCTTCTGTCAGTATGTCAAAAGTTTTAACAATACCGAAGGTTTCTTTATACTTCTTCTTGACGTCAGACAGAAGGAAATCTTCTGCTGTTGGATAGTTTTTGTTCAGAAATGCTAACATGTCCATTTTATCTTCTGCTGGCTTTTCTGCTTCTTTCTTTAAGTCTGCATAGTCGTTTCGCATACGTTCTATCTCTTTGACTGAGTAGTTATATTTTCTTATTCCTGCTTTACATTTTGAACATTGCGGGTTCATTTTTGCGTTATACATTGAAATAAAACCAGCTAAAACAACTAAAGCGTCAATTGCTCTCTTCATCTCAAACATAGCGGGTCTTATTTGTTTGTTCCATACTTTGCCTCTTCTATCTTTATCTCTTATTTCCCAAACACATTTTGCAACTAATGAAACAAAGTTATCGTAAGTCTTAAACTCCTCAGATTTATATATGTCAGAAATGTTTTTATAAACCATGTCGCAATCTTTGTCCATAACCTTATGGTTGCAATGAAAACCAAGGAATTCATAATTTACTTTACGTATGAACTTCTTTATTTCTACTGAGTCAGTTGGTTTCACTTCAATTTCGTCGAATTCAGGAATAGTGAGTTTTTGTTGTTGGATTTCAGGTAGTTTAGGCAAATGGTCAATAATGTCCTGCATTTCATAAAGATATTCTTCATTTGTTTCATCTTTCGCACTACAGTCTAAATTACTTGTTAAAAGTTCTTGCTTTATCTTCTGGATTTTTGTTTCGAAAGTAAATGAAGAAGGAATGAAGTTTTTCATCTCTACTAACATTGACGTAGGATTCATGACTAACGAGTTTGGTGCTGTTGTTGTTTGAATTGTTGTTGTGCCGATTGTTGAAATCATATCTTTTATACAAAATAAAAAAAATAAATAAAAATAAAACTAACTTTATTTTTCTATCTTAAGGAAATTCATGAAAATTCACGGGGGTGAAAAAACAGGTGAGAAAACGGGTGAGATCTCACCTCTTCACCTAAAATATATTTTTGGTCTTTTGTGAAAATTCATGAAAATTCACGGGGGTGAAAAAAGAGGTGAAAAAACAGGTGAGATCTCACCTCTTCACCTAAACATTATTTTTGTCTGATTTACATCTAATGAAAAAGTTTAGAAGAATTTTCTTATTCTTTCTGGCATATTTTTGTCTTTCCAGTACTCCCGCTCTAATGGTCCCAGATGTGTTGGCTTCGACTCTCTCAAGTTCTTAGATGGTATAACATCTTCAACACCTCCTTCATATCTTACTTTATAAGTGTCATCGTTTGTGTTATAGCCAAGTATTTCAATAACCACTCCTCGCTTTGCTTCGTCAATGGTTTCAGCAAGTTTGCCATTACTACTTTCAACTAATTTATGACGAGGATAAAACGCAATAGAGTCGTCAGCAGCTTTTATAAGATATCCATTACCTTGCGTAGAGTCTACGATATAATAGTTTCTACTTAACCTTAAACGTTTCTTTGTCAACGGTTTGTCGTCAAGAACTACACGAACTTTTGTACCAGGAATGAGGGTAAATTGTGTTGAATTTCTGATATTTTGTGTTTGGCTTCGTTTCTTTTGTATATACTTTTCTTCTTGTTGTTGTGTCATTGAATTTGGTGTATGTCCTGTTGTAGAATGTGTTGAGGAATTATATACTTCGAGAAAATGTTTCATTGTTTCTTCGGTAAAGTCTCGCTCTTGGTTTAAATCTCTGAGAGTCCTTATGAAGCGGTTTATGATGCCGAGTATGTTATGGTTATGGTCTTCAGTAGTGTAGTGAGTTATGTTATGCTTAATGAGAAATTCTGTGATTTCATTGCTGAGGTATGCACTGTCTTGGTCTGATGTTAAAGTACTTGGGTTATGTTCTGCTACAAACTTTTGTAAAACTCTTAACACTTCACGAGTTCCTTTATTTTTCATTGGATATGCATATGCTTTACGAGTGTTAACATTAATGAAGATGAGGAATGGTTTATGTCCTCCTTTTCTGCTTTGAATGAGTGTGTCAAATTGGTATGCGTCAGGAGTGTTGGAGTAAATTGGTAAAAAGTAGTCGTAAGGGTTTATTTTTGTTTGATGTACAACATTTTTGTCAAAGAACCTTTTCACTTCAGCTCTGTTAGTAAATCCCCAACTCTTTGCAGCTTCATTGAACTTCTTAAATGACCTCCATGGATGTTGTTCGAATACTTCTTTCAAGCTCATTTATGTAAAGTTAAAGATTTTAACCAACTCGTATCCAAGCGTGCATTGTTATATAAGGAGGCATATAATCTTTTCCATTACCTGCTGGGTCTGTAATACCAGCTACAACATGTGTATGATTTCCTGCAGTTCCACAGAAAATACCTGTGCTAACATCTTTGGGGTCATCTGAGATATCATATCTGTTCATTCCCTGTCTATTCGAACCCGCTGCAAGATTTATATAACCTCTTTTTGTTATTGAATGTGAATGGTTTCCTTCCACAGATGTTCTTCCACTGAACCTATGCATATGTGAAGGAAGGTTTTCAATACCTATTTTCTTTGAACCTCCCATCTTCATTGACTGCGTATTAGTGTAGAATGGAAAACTGTCAACTATTTCATACCATCTACCACCAAATAAAGTGTTTGGATTTATTGGATTCATAGACGTATAAACAGCTCCTATAGGATATATTAAATCATATATGCTCATAACTCTATAAACATATTCTAAAGAACTTATGTCATTAAATACCATTTGGAATGTATCTCCCGGATGAAATGTTGCATTTGTTCCACTTTTATAATGTAATGTTAGTTCAATAGAATTATCCAAGAAAAATTCAAAAGTATCTGGTTGAAGACCTCTAACAAATTCAAATGGAGTTGCTGGTTCACCATTTATAATTTCTGTTGTAAATGTCATTGTATCTGGTTTCGAAAATTTCTTTGTTAGTTCTGCATCCACATAAGTTTTATCTGCTTTCTTATCTAACATTGTTGGTAGTTCATGTGCTTCAAAGTTTCTGGCATGACTTTCAATGTTCCTGCAACTCTTATCTAAATTGTTAATGTTATATACGAAAACGATAAAAACAGTTTGACAGAAAAGTGACAACTTTACGTGTCAAAAATATAAAAAGTGATATTTTATTCATCATTATCTTCTTCATAATTTATTTCATATTCTTCGTCTTACCAACAAAAGATGGGAATGTGAACAATTGCGGGCAATTTTTAGCCATTTTGGCTTGGAACTAGAGCCTGCGAGGTACATGGATAGTATCAGTACCTCACAGGCTCTAGTTCTCTATATGGCGCCGAGAAATTTTGGTGAAATGTGGTCGCATTTCACCAAAATTTTTTCGGCGCCATAGGATGAATTGGAGGGTGAGAGATATTATTTCATACAATACTACTCTCACCCTCCAATTCCCAGCCAAAATGGCTAAAAATTGCCCGCAATGTGAACAATTGCGGGCAATTTTTAGCCATTTTGGCTTGGAACTAGAGCCTGCGAGGTACATGGATAGTATCAGTACCTCACAGGCTCTAGTTCTCTATATGGCGCCGAGAAATTTTGGTGAAATGTGGTCGCATTTCACCAAAATTTTTTCGGCGCCATAGGATGAATTGGAGGGTGAGAGATATTATTTCATACAATACTACTCTCACCCTCCAATTCCCAGCCAAAATGGCTAAAAATTGCCCGCAATGTGAACAATTGCGGGCAATTTTTAGCCATTTTGGCTTGGAACTAGAGCCTGCGAGGTACATGGATAGTATCAGTACCTCACAGGCTCTAGTTCTCTATATGGCGCCGAGAAATTTTGGTGAAATGTGGTCGCATTTCACCAAAATTTTTTCGGCGCCATAGGATGAATTGGAGGGTGAGAGATATTATTTCATACAATACTACTCTCACCCTCCAATTCCCAGCCAAAATGGCTAAAAATTGCCCGCAATGTGAACAATTGCGGGCAATTTTTAGCCATTTTGGCTTGGAACTAGAGCCTGCGAGGTACATGGATAGTATCAGTACCTCACAGGCTCTAGTTCTCTATATGGCGCCGAGAAATTTTGGTGAAATGTGGTCGCATTTCACCAAAATTTTTTCGGCGCCATAGGATGAATTGGAGGGTGAGAGATATTATTTCATACAATACTACTCTCACCCTCCAATTCACAGCCAAAATGGCTAAAAATTGCCCGCAATGTGAACAATTGCGGGCAATTTTTAGCCATTTTGGCTTGGAACTAGAGCCTGCGAGGTACATGGATAGTATCAGTACCTCACAGGCTCTAGTTCTCTATATGGCGCCGAGAAATTTTGGTGAAATGTGGTCGCATTTCACCAAAATTTTTTCGGCGCCATAGGATGAATTGGAGGGTGAGAGATATTATTTCATACAATACTACTCTCACCCTCAATTTTAATTACTTAAACTCATTCTATTTTTTTGACATGTAAATGTCACTTTTACTGAGATCTGACACAATGTCAGATCTCTTTTTTTCGTATATAAGATTAAGAGTATCTTTTACGCTTGTACTTGGATTTTCTAATGGTGCACTTGAACCAAGGTCAAAGTTCAATATTATGTCGTCTGCTCTAACAGTAGTGAAGGATTTATGTGTATGATTTTTGTCGGCTTTACTGTCTAATGTAGCTTGAAGTTCATTTATATCGGAGATGTTGTGTTTATGAGATTTCAAAACTTTGTTCATTGCTTCGAGTTCAACTTTGTCAGCTTTACTTTTAATAGCATCTTCAAACGTTATTTTTGCCTTAACTCTCAAAGTAAATCTTGGTTCAACTAATACACCGTTAACATTGAAAGTAGAGGCATAAATTTCACCGGTATAACCAAATGCTTCTGGTGCTTTAGCTACATCATACTGTACAGTACAGCTTATGTCATAACCTTTAGCACGAATGTATTTATATCTTCTTTCATTAACATTTTTTGTCTTCGCTTCATCACTTCGTGTTAAATATCCATGGTAGTCCGTTATAATCTGTTCGTCTGAAGTTATATAATGAACATGGTTCTTGTCCGCTTTACTATTTAATGTAGCTTGAAGTTCATTTATATCGGAGATATTGTGTTTATGAGATTTCAAAACTTTGTTCATTGCGTCAAGTTCATTTTTGTCCGCTTTACTATTTAATGTAGCTTGAAGTTCATTTATATCGGAGATATTGTGTTTATGTTCTTTATCTGCTTTTTCGGCTAATTTCTCTTCTATCTCATTTATTTCAAGTTCATGCCTACCACCACCTCCCGAAGAAGTATTTTTCTTCAGCTCTTGAAGAACGTCCACTTCGCCATCTTTGGTGTCAATAATGAGACTTTGAGTTAAAACCTTTCCTGTCTTAATGGATGTTTGTAAAACTTCTTCTTCACCGTGTTCGGGGTCATGGTCGTCATCATATCTTGTGAAATCAGAGATGTTGTCATACATTAAGCATATCTGTCTCAAAAGTTCTGCTATTTGAAACTGGAACGAAAGATATACAGAACTTTCATCATCTCCTAAAGTCAAGTCTGCTTTCTTAAGTATTTCTTGAATGTATGCAATGAGAACAGAGTACCTTGGAAAATATTCGAACAATATTTCATTAGCTGTTGGTTTTGGTGGTTCTTCTGGAGTTTCTGTTGTTTCAGTTCCTTCTGTTGGAGTTTCTGCATCTCTTGACTTCAATGCTCTTGCTCTCAAAGACCTAAATGTTAGAGCACCGGGTTTTACAAAGGACTTTATAAATGCTTTAATAGTTCCTGGTAAGTTATTGTTAGCATTAAGTAAGTTCCTTATGCTTCCATCATGTACGTCCATAGCACTATGTAAAAAATCTATACTTTTCTTGTAGTCAGCAATAGACTGACTGTGATTTTTTAAAGATTTGTCAATACCTTTAAGCCAATCTTCATGCATGTCTGATACTGAGCCAAGAATATCATTTGCTTCCTTTAGTGTATTTTGTGCTTGTCGTAAAGTATCCAATCCCGTACGTGCATTGTTTGCTATACGTCTTACAGTATCTATTTGACTCCTTGTTTCTTGCATCCAACCAGATAAAGTTTTAATAGTATCCGAACCATTTGAAATGAAGTTCAAAGCATTTTTAACGTCATTTAAAACTTCTTCACCAAGTACCGCCCATATCTTTCCGATTTGGTATTGAAGAACTCCATATGAAGCAGCTGTTAAACCAGTATTTATAAGGTCCCATATCCATGATTTAGCAGTTTTTCCATCCTTTCCATCCTTTCCATCCAAACCGTTCTCGCCTTGAGGTCCTTGTATTCCTTGTATTCCTTGTATTCCTTGTGGTCCTTGAGGTCCTTGAGGTCCGGTGTCACCCTTCTCTCCTTTCAGTTCATCTTTATGTTCGTTATAATATTCTAATGTCATAAGGTGTACATCATTACTGCTACCAGCAACGCCGAGAATTTGTTTCTCATTCATGACTAAATTCTTTAGGCATTTAATGTTGTCGTCAAATCGAAAGCTCTTTAACAATTCAATGAGAACATTCAGTACTTTCACTAATGAGGCATCTACTGTTGAATTTATATATTGCACCGTTCCATCATTTATGATAGGAACTTTACTTATTGTAATGAATGGGTCATAAGTGTTAAAAGTATCGAAATCAATGACTTTTTTAGTTTTTCCATCGTCAATGACTAAATCATTACCTTCAATGGTTAAAGTTGAGTTTTCGTTTACTAGTTCATGTGCTCTTCTTGCTTCATTTGTTTCATACGCATATGCAGCAATAGTCATATTTTAATGAGAATAAAATGTTGTTCTATTTGCAAAGTACAGACCCAAACGAATACGGGACAGTAAAGCTACAAACAAACTTAGGTCTTCAGAATGAAGCGCTTGCTTTCAGAGTTGTTGACTTCAATACTATCGCAACTTTTGTCATAACAGATGAAACAGATTTCATAGAGATTGAAATAGATGACAAAAGAAGTGTTATAACATTTCCTAACAGAGCAGAGTATAGAATAGATAAAATTGCTGGAGTCATAGATACTCTCATAAATGAAGAAACTATTGACAACATAGATGTCGAACTCTCTTCTGAGGGAACATTGAAGTTCAGTAGCAAGAAAGAGTTCAAGATAACACGAATGAGTCATAGAGTACAACTTCTTTTGGTGCATACCATATGACATTTCCTTTGAAAAGTGTTGACAAAACGATTGAGATGAAATCTGTTCCATACGTATGTTATGGTAATTGTTTATACATTGAGTCTAAAATAGCTAATGTCACAGGCATTTCAGGAGTTAATAGTAAAGGTTCAGTAGAATATAAATCCTTCTGTTATGCAGTCAATTCAATGTTCATTCCAAACGTTCCTGTCATAGCAACTCATTTAGGTAAATGGGTTCGCATTAGTCCTCATAATTTGAAAGACATGCAATTCAGACTTGTTGACTTTCAAGGAGAGCCTGTAGAACTGAAGGCACCAGTGCGAATGACTGTTGAAGTTGACTTTTTAGAAAATATTAAATGCAACAGCTTACAAGAGAACTCAGAGCTAAAAATATAAAGTATGAATGTTATGTATTAGGTCATGAACTTTGGTTGTTGCTGTTTGATGAAACAAATGAGTTAGTTATGTCAGTCAAGAGAACAGAAAAATATTGTGTTAGTGAAAACTGCACCAAGTCAATAAGATTAGGTTTGCATTATGAAGATGAGTTCGATACTGTTGAAGAAGTTTTGGACAGATATTACAAATTGCTAACTTGAAATTTTTTTGACTGACGGCGCAAAGCGCCAAGATGGGCTCAAAGAGCCCTCCTGACTGCTTTAATTTACTAAAACATATTTCAAACAAAGCTTATAGTCAGTAGATAGTTTTGTATACTCGTTCGAATATTTATACTTAAACTCAACTCCTGTAGTTCCTGGTGTTTCAATGATGCGGATGTTACCTATTTTCATGAATAGTGGAGTTTGACCACAGCATTCGATTTCAGGGTCGAGATAGTCAATGACACTTTGTTTCCCTGTTATTCGTGAGATAACATTTTCAAGGTCCTCCTTTGTTAGAATTATTTGGTTCTTACTTATAAGATTTGTCAAAAGCTTCTTATCGTCTTTGAGTAAAATTGTTTGGTATAACTGAAGAAGGTAATGGTCTACGTTATCTGAAGGATTTGTTTGAACATTTGTGTAAGGGTTGTCGTTGGCTTCTCTTGAAAGAATTTGGTCCAGTGGTGGATACTCTAACTTAACATCTGATGTAGCGTTAGCGTTTGAAGCTGTGTTTAAATTCACCGACTTAAGATCTGGTTCTGGTTCTTTCAAACACTCTGAACTATAGTTCTTTATGACAATATTGTTTGTCGTTCGTGAGTCAACATTTGATGTTGGTTCAATTGGAACATTAACGGCACCAGCTAAGATGGATTTGCTTCTCATTTCATATAGAATAAAAACCTTTTATATGTATGAAATGAACAATATACTCGACAAGGGTTTGAATGTAAAGCTAACGAATGAAAATATTGTTGAATTCACTGAGACAGGTGCTGTGTATAAAGATGTAGAACTACTGAACAAAAGAGCTAAGGGAAGAAGCAGGAACATGAACAAAGGGTGGAAGCCTATAAAAATTTATGTCAACGATGGCTCAGGAGGTTCAAACATAAAGTATGCAGAAAGTTATAGAGTTTATGCTCTCAAAGGTGAAAAGCCTTCATTTAAGAACAGCTATTCTAACGCATATCCTCAAAAGCTAACGGATGGGGAAGTGGATGATATGAATGACAGCAAAAATATTAACAGAAATGGCGACAGAGATGCATGGAATTTGTTTACCATCAGTCAATTGAAGGTTAAACTTTAAAACAATGTTGGTCGTTCCCATGGAATATTTTTGACTTTAATGGTATTAGTCATGATATGAATCTCAAGGTATGAACGAGGAGAGATGAGAGACTTATATGCTTCCCAAATTTCTTCAAAAGGTAATGTTATACCTGACTGTTTCCAAATGAGTTCAATATCATAGCGTGAGAAACCTTGAAAGATAACGAAGTCAGTTATGAGACGTTTTATGTTTAAAGCTAAAACCTCCATGTTTGCATAAGTATTGCTACAGTTAAGTGGTAATGTCTGACTTTAGTTATGATGTTAGCTAATGGTGAGTCTGGTTTTGACACTAAACCTTTTCCGGCGAAGTCGTCGCAAACGAGCAGAGTGTTTGAAGGATACTTTTTGAAGGGGTATTTTGAAAGTTTTGACAGAATGTAGTTTGTAAGTCGTTTCATATCGTAAACTCCTGAGTACTGACGTAAGTGGTGTTTGTCAATAATTCTTTCCATCTCCTCAGAAGTCTTTTGCATTCCTGACTGTATAAATTCAACGATGGCATAATATTTCCTCTTACGTCGAATGTAACGTTGAAGAAATTCAATGAGTTCACTGTCTGGAACTTTAACGACAGAGGCTTGAACTTTTGACATAAATGTTTTCGCTGTTGAGTCCATAGAGTCTGAAGTTGCTGATATAATGATTTGGTCATAATATGAGTCATTTCCTAAACGTTCTGTTATGAGTATATGACGAATGAGGTTAAATGTCTTACCTGAACCCATCTTTCCACAATAGAAATACACACCATTTGAACAGAACTCATAATCTTTGCTGAAAGGAAGAATAAGAGAACTGTTGAGCTTTTCACTGCTTTCATTCATGTCTTCATCTACGTCATGTATTAAATGCTTCATTTTATCTCCATTAAAAATGCAAGTCAGAAATATTCAGAATATAGCACCGAGTCTAACTGACAAGAGTATAAAGATATACTATGAACACGTTATGATGAAACCTACCAAAATTCAAGAAAGTCAGTATACTTATGAATATCCAAGACACTGGGTAGAGTATGTAGGAGGTGAGAAAGCTATTGAAATCAGACAGGTTCGAAGTATTCCAGCAGGAAGAACAATATTATTGAAGAACTTTAATGTTTTGAGGTATAATGATGAAACAAAGAAGCAAGATAGTTTCCCTGTTGCTGTGTATGTGAACTTAGATACAGGAGATGACATGAAAGTTTTTAACACAAAGCTTCAAACGGTAGTGAGAGAACAACTGACTGCGGAAGGGCATCCATTACCTTCAGAAGTTACCATAGCATATAATTTTGAAACAAACTCAATAGATTTTAAAGTCATCTCTGCAAAGAAGTCAGGTTTTACATTTAATGAAGCAGATGTATATTCGAATGAAAACTTCAAAGCTATTGTATGGTTAGATAATGACGATTGCTTTAAGAAAATCTTTAAATTCAGTGACTCAAAGATGTCAATAGATGACCTTCGTGGAATGTTACCATCGACGTTTACAGTTGAAGGTTCAGCAGGATTGCTTACAAGATTGTCAATTGGTGGTATTTGGTCTCGTGAGAACATTGTTATAAAATCCAGTATAAGTGAATTTGCTGAAGAATCTATATTATGTCTTTCAAACTACATGTATTCGCCGCCGAAGCATTATAGTATAACAAACTTTGTCAGTAAGTTTAACATAAGACTTGTCGAACCTTCTTCAATGAAAGATGTTGTGCTACCTAAAGATGGAAAGGATGGACTCATTATTGAGATGATTTTAATAGCATATTAAATGAGCTTGTTCTTGAAGGTCATTCATGATGAAATAACTGTTGTAGAAGATGTTAGCAATTGTTCAGACATTTTATTGAGAATAGATGAGATAAGAAAGAAGTTAGATAGACCGCAAAGCGGTGAGGGCGAAGCCCGTGAGAACGCTTATGTTTCATTGACTTTCTCCAGTAACGAGAACTTTTATGAGATAATATTGAAGAGAGATGATTTTAATATGGTGTAAATGGTAGCTTGGGCAGCTTTAGGCGCAATGGGAACAAAAGCATTAGCATTTGGAGCAAAAGCACTTGGAGCTTATGACGCAGTAAATAAAATGAGTGGAGGAAGGGTTTCGAAGACATTAGATGCAAATAAAGGAAAGATTGGAGGCTGGGTTGCAAAGAAGTTAAGATTAAATAAAATAGGGCTCATAAATAAAGCATCCAATTTGGTTGCGACTGAGTCAGAAAATGCTTTAGGAAAGGACGATGAGTTTGCAAAACACGCAAAAGACTTTAATGACCAGATGAAAGGTGAAACAATGCATTTAAATAGAGTTGATGGAACTAAAGAAAATGTTTCTTCTCCACCAGTAGTTCTTCCGTATGGTCCCTATGGAATGTATGGAAACCCTTACGAAAGACCATTTGACCCATTGACTGGTGGAAGTAACTGGTATCATTACGGCCGAAGAAGAAAGACAGTCAAGTTGGAGACAGACGTGAAGAAAGCAACTAAAAAGAAACCAAGGAAGAGAGTTATAAAGCAATGAGTTCAACAGGGTGAAAAAAAGAGGTGAAAAAAGAGGTGAGATCTCACCACTTCACCTAAATTTATTTTTGTGCTATGTTTTCATACGTGTGAGGGTGGTGAGATCATTATTTTTAAGTTTATTTTTTAAAATTATTTTTATTTTATTTGGATGTAATGACGAAAACTATTGAGATAACAAACTACAACGGTCATGAGTTCAAGAATTTGTTCTTCGTTCCTCGTGAAAATACATTCTATCAGATACGAGGGAGAAAGGGTAAAGTTAGTTTGAGCGTTTATGAAGGAATGAAGAATGGAAAGTTTATACAAGCATACGATACAAACGGTAAACGTGTTTCATTAGCTTTGTCAAAACTTACTAACATTTATTTTGACAGTGATTTTGACCTATATGAAGAAGAAAGTGAGTCAGAAGAATATGAACTGTTATGTGAAGCACAGCAATGGGAGGAGTTGCAATACTTTTGTAAGTGAGAACGTTTATTTTTTACATTAGTGAAGTCGTTTGTGAAAACGTTAGTGAAGTGGTTGGCGGCTTTATAAATATTTAAGGTTAAATTAGTGTTGTCATTTGTGTTGTAAAAATATATGTTAATGGTTTTGTAAAGTGTCAAATTCACAAGTATTAGGTACGGTGGAACGTAGTGCCACCATACACGAGACTTGTATACTAACTATGACTGTTGATTTGAGTGAGTGTATGATTGAGAGTTTGGGCGACAATATGACTCATAGTTTAAGAGAGTGTATGACTGATGGTTTTAGTGAGAATAAGACTGACAGTTTGGGTGACAATATGACTTCGGTTTGACACACACTATGAATTAGCTTTTTATTGAGAGTAAGACTGACAGTTTGACTGACAATATGACTGACAGTTTGACACACACTATGAATTAGCTTTTTAGTTAGGATAAGACTGATAGTTTGACTGACAATATGACTTCGGTTTGACAGACACTATGAATTAGCTTTTTATTGAGAGTAAGACTGACAGTTTGACTGACAATATGACTGACAGTTTGACACACACTATGACTTACGGTTTTAGTTAGAATAAGACTGACAGTTTGAGTGACAATATGACTTACGGTTTTATTTAGAATATGACTGAGAGTTTAGGTGACAATATGACTGTTGATTTGAGTGAGTGTATGACTAACCGTTTTAATGACAATATGACTGACGGTTTGAGTGACAATATGAATTACGGTTTTAGTGAGAATAAGACTGATAGTTTGGATGACAATATGACTGACGGTTTGACAGCCTCTATGACTTACGGTTTTAGTTAGAATAAGACTGACAGTTTGGGTGACAATATGACTGTTGATTTGAGTGAGTGTATGACTGACAATTTGAGTGACAATATGACTTCGGTTTGACACACACTATGAATTAGCTTTTTAGTTAGAATAAGACTGACAGTTTGAGTGACAATATGACTGACGGTTTGACACACACGATGACTTACGGTTTTATTTAGAATATAACTGAGAGTTTGGGTGACAATATGACTCATAGTTTAAGAGAGTGTATGACTGATGGTTTTAGTGAGAATAAGACTGACAGTTTGGGTGACAATATGACTCATAGTTTAAGAGAGTGTATGACTGATGGTTTTAGTGAGAATAAGACTGACAGTTTGGGTGACAATATGACTGTTGATTTGAGTGAGTGAATGACTGACAGTTTGACTGACAATATGACTGACGGCTTTAATTAGAATATTACTGACAGTTTGAGTGACAATATGACTGTGGTTTGACAGACACTATGAATTAGCTTTTTATTGAGAGTAAGACTGACAGTTTGACTGATAATATGACTGACGGTTTGACCGACAATATGACTGACGGTTTGACAGCCTCTATGACTTACGGTTTTATTTAGAATATGACTGAGAGTTTGGGTGACAATATGACTCATAGTTTAAGAGAGTGTATGACTGATGGTTTTAGTGAGAATAAGACTGATAGTTTGAGTGACAACATGACTGACGTTTTGACTGACAATATGAGTGACGGCTTTAGTTAGAATATGACTTAGAGTTTAGCTGACAATTGGCTGACAGTTTGAGTGACAATATGACTGAGAGTTTGACTGACAATATGACTGACGGTTTGAGTGAGTGTATGAATGAGAATATAACTGACGTTTTGACTAACAATATGACTGACGGTTTGACATCGAAATTCATTCATATATATGTATTGATCAATGCAATCACCCTATTTAATATTATTATTTATCAATTAATTTTTCATTACTACATGCTCTCAATTATTATGACATTAATATTTATCAATAAATATTTCATTACTATATGCTCCCACCCAATTTGACATTATTGTTCTTTGACAAATTTTTCTTTATTAAAGACACTCTCACAAATTCATATCAATATATTTTAATTATCACCTATTCCAATCCATTTTCATATTCATATTCTTATTGAGTTAGAATAAATTGAGGATGACTGAGAATCAAATTATAATTAGTGAGAATCAAATTATAATTAGTGAGAATCAATTGAAGAATACTGGGAGTTAATTAAGGTTGTTTAAGAATAAATTGTGAATAAGTGACAATCAATTGAGGATGAGTGAGAATCATTTGATTATTAGTGAGATTCAACTGAACATCAGTGAGAATCAATTGAATAATACTAAGAAGAAATTGAGGAAGAGTGAGAATCACTTGATTCTTAGCGAGAATCAATTAAGGATGAGTAAGAATCAATTAATAAGTAGTGAGAATCAATTTAGGGTGACTGAGAATCAATTGATTCTTAGTGAGAATCTATTGATAATTAATGCGAATCAATTGATTATTTGTGAGAATCAATTGATCAGTAGTAAGGATCAATTGATTATTTGTGAGAACCAATTGAATATGAGTAAGAGTCAATTGAGGATGAATATGTGTCTATTCTGATATGACTTAGTATCTACTGAGGCTAGATGCTAACATCTTACTTTTATGATCATAATTTTTCAACTCCATTAATATTTATAACAATATTTTGATTACTATTTAAATAATTTTATCAAATGATAATTATTAACATATATTAAGAGTATGTTTAATTTTCAACATACTCTTAAAAATCCGAAATTTTTAAAAAGTGACAATTTTTTTAATGCTAAACCATCTTCATCTACCATTAAATGTTTCGGATGATTTGATTTTAATTCAGTTGGGTTCTATTAGATGTAATAGTGTAAATTCTGATTCAACAATTTATCCAGATGGGTATATTTCAAAAATATTATATTATTCTTCCAATAAACCCTATCAAAAAGAATGGTATACAAATAAAATAACTTATCAAGATGGTAAACCTA